TTGACAACTCAGACATATTTTCGTATTTTGACTATATCAGGAGCTACAATGATCGGATCAAGGTGATCTTGGTACCATTTTGAAGCTAAGAGATATATCTACATTTGGTATGAAGACATCAAAGTCCAATTCATCCGTTTTCATAGTCCAAAAGTTGAAATACCGAAATTCAACTCAGCTGTCCAAAGTGGAAAACAGAGTTCCGACCAGTGTTTAGTATTTTGATCATATCTCAGTCTACAAAGCTCCGATTTGGATGATTCTTGAAGCATTGGAAAGCTAACTCAAAGAGCTACAACTTTGGTGTTTTGCACAAAAGCCAGTTCGGCCTGCATCATGGAGAAAATCGCAGTTGAAGTAAGGACAAAGTGAAAACGCGAGTACACAAAACGCGAGTTGTAGACGCGTTTTGTAAAGGCGCGTTTTCTGGCCGAAATTCTGCAATTTGCTCAGTCAATTCTCTTGTGTTCATACCACTTTCCAGCTATAAGTTGCAAGAGAATTCGGTGCACATGCTTCAGAAGACAAAAGGGCAGACAAGGTGGCTTATTTTCAAGTCAAAAACATTTGTTATTGACTATCCTAACAAAGTTGAGATTTGGGAATCAAAATGTGGAATTTGACTTGGAAAAATGGAGCTCTTAAGCAGTTTATATGCAGAGACATTTTGGGTGGTCTGACCAGGGGGAAATATACGGGAGAAGCTTGAAGAGTGCAGAAATGTAGTTCTTCCATTTCCTTAGTGTAGGATAGTGTAGTAAGTGTAGTTCATCCATTCTTGTATAATTGCTAGATTAGGATGAAGATGGAGATGAAGAAGGAAGTTGAAGCTCAAGTGACATGGGTTATCTCTTTCCAACTCTTTATCTTTTGTATTGGATTCTTAAATATTAGTTAATATGCAAGTTCTGGAATTTATGTCTATTATGTGTCTCTAAAGTTTATGCCTTGGGTTTGGTTGAACTTTCTATGATTGTTAGTGTTTATCATTTGGCTATTTAACTGCTATGATTTGAGCAAGTTATTTAGCACTTTAGCTCTTTAAATCATGATTAATCTGGTACCATTAATTGTGATTATCTAAGGTGTTATTTCTGCAATGAAAATTGAGATTTAACATTAGTTCAAGAAGTGCTAAACATAGGGAGTACACTCACGAAAGTAGAGGTGCACCTATGTGGTTTTTAGTGATTCATTTCATGTAATTTCACTGAAGAAATGAACTTGTAGCTAATTTCATAACCATGAGAATAGGTATGGATTAGTTATAAGTATAATTGATTCACTACGAAAGTAGGATTCAAATGCATAAGGAAATTACACCATAATTAGCCTAGATGTAGTAATTAATGATCCAAATATAGCACTTGCATGAGTAGTTAGGGATACCATAACCTAAGGAGCTTTCATTTGTCATTTTGTATAATTTCAGTAGGTTAAATTTGTTATAATTTATTGATAGTCTAAATAATAGAGAAGCTTTAGTAATACCGGTAATTGTTCACCCTTCCTTGTGGGATCGACCCGATATATACCCTTAACTACTAGTTGATCTGTATACTTGCAGTGAACGGGTGTAATTCGGTATTTTTTAGCTTGCACGTATGTAAAATACCCGTCAGTAATCATTCAAAGTACATTAAATACTCATAATATCTAGTAAATGAAAGACATTATACTCAAATTTAACTGTATTCAGTTCAATCTCTCACCCTAACCTAACTCCACAAGTAAGTAATCCATATAGTCAAAGGCAGTAAGCACTCTCTTATAATCATTTTTTCCTCAAAACTTAAGTTTAAAGAGGGAATTATTCATACAACCTATCAATAAAAACTCAAATTATGGAAATGTCTTTTTATGTGAAAATCAACACTTTTAAGTGAGAACCCCCGATTACTCAACACTTTCATATTCAAATCACTCAACTACCCCTATAAGAAAATTATGCCATAGCTAGTCAAGATAGTAGTACTCAATGATACAAAAATTGCACTTACATGAGTAGTTAGGGATACCATAACCTAAGGAGTTTTCATTTGCTATTTTCTTGCACATTTTAGCATAGTTTTATTTTCTTCAATTTGTTGATGGTCAAAATAATAGAGGGGTTTTAGTGGTACCAGTAGTTGTTCATTCTTCTCTATGGGTTCGACTCTTAATACCCTATATTCAATTCCGACCCATATACTTGCAAAAAAATTGCATGTGGAATATTTAGAAACTTAAAAATGTAAAACTTGACTATGGATTGAATCTAATTGTTATATGCATACCCCGCTTTCGTCAAGTTTTGGTCGCCGTTGTTGGGGAAGATTTGTGGGAATATTGGCATGAAAAACAACATTATTAGTTTAGATATTTTACTTATTATATTGTGTTTGTTATGTCTTGTATGTTTCTTGAATTTATTTGTGTGCTTTTGTTTGTTCTGGGTTACCTCTTCTTCTGGACTGATCTTATTTTTGAATTACTTTGAAGGCATGTTTAGGGACTTAAAGAGAATGGTAAATATGGGCGGATAATACATGAGAAATGAAAGTTTGGCAATGGATTGTTATCACGTGCAAAGTTCTATGAATAGAGATAACCAAGAAGGCACCATGAATATGTCTTTTGAAGATGGTTTAAGAAGTTTAAAAATTTAAATTGATTATATAACATTAAAAGTTTAATTGGACACCATTATGCATTTGATTAACAAAAAGGGAATGTTGATGCTTTTAATTCTAATTACGCTATTTGTGACTTGTGTGGAGGTTATCATGCTACTCATATATGTAGGCAAGTACTGATATGGATTATTGTGTTAAATTTGGGCTTGATCAATATGATGCTAATTGGGGTAATTCTTATGCTTATAATTGGGATAATTAATGTAATTGTAGTAATTCTTCACGTTTTTGTGATTACCAATCTGAATTTATTTAATATGAATCGAAGCCATCTTGAAAATTTGCTATTGAAAAGCTAGCTAATGCAATTTTTGATCATTTTGCTTGGGTTGAGAATAGATTAGATGAATTAACTTCTCATTTTGGTAGAATTCAAGACCAAGTGATTTGTGTGAAGTTATTTCTTCTAATGATATGTAAATTAACCCTAACATGAATGGTGGGAATGATGCAGGTGAAAATGGATATCTTTTTTATGATAATGATGATCCTAAGTGTTGTTTCAATGAAAAAGTGTGAGCTAATGATGAATCTCAAGAGATTAACATCAATGATTCATACTTAACCCCCCTTGAAAAGTACTTTAAAGGTGTAGGTTCTACAGATGTTATCCTTCAAGAAAGTCAAGCGGACATTCCCTTGGTGAGTACTCAAGTGACACACATTTAAGGTAATATCTGTGAATCACTTAAGATAGTAAGCCACTTTTATCTCTCTTATCATTAGAACATATGACTTTTGTTATTGAACCACCATTTATTGATCTACTACTTCTTAAAATGGTAGATTATCCATTAATGAAACCTCATTAACAAATGAGGCTATGCAGTCAAACTAATGACTATAAAGAAATGCTTATTGGGAGGCAACTCAACGATTTCTTGCTTTAGTAATTTTCAAGTGTTTGATTTGTGTTTTTATGTGTTTTGTAGGTTGCAACAATAAGGGATCATGCAAATCATCTCAAGTGCAAAAATGCCTACATTGAGGAATAAAGGGGGATTTCATGTTCAATTCATGCATTTCCTGCATTTATTATGATTCATGTTTGTATTATAGTAATGCATGATCTTGTGTTTCTAAGTCTATTTCATTGAGAAAAATGCATTTTTAAGGTTAAAATTAGATTTTTCTTGAAAAACATGAAAACAATTGAAAACCGGGTTGAGTGCTGAATCTTGACTAAGCAAAAAATTGGAGGAAAAACTACAGAAATCAAAAGTTCAGCAGTTAATCTGGCCAGAAATCTGCCCGAATAGTTAAGGAGCCTGAAATTGTTTTTTTAAAAAAAATTTCTCTGACCAGAAATTTGCCGGATTCTAGCGAAATGTTGGCCTTTAAAAGGAATCTATTCACGGATTCTTCAAATTTTCCTCCATCCTTCAACCTCACGCATATACTCACACCTAAAACACACACTACTTACCAAAATCCCTCTTGTCACCATCAATTCGTCCATCTAATTTCACCAAAACACTCCCCAAATCCTCTAGAGAAGCTTTCATGGTTCAAAGTTCTTTAAATATCACTTGAAAGTTGAATTAAAACTCACTTAAGGATTAGGGTTTTAGCTTCTTGAATCATCAACTTTGGACTGAATTGGAGTGAGATTTTAAGGGTTTATACTTCATTTGCATCCCTAGTCATCACTCAATAAGTTTAAGGTAACAAATCTTCACTAAACTTTGCCTTTTGATTATTGTCATTTGTGAATATTTCCTGTCTTTTCGGCAATTTCAAATTTCTTGTCTTTATCAAGTTTGGTGATTTTTTATTACACTTGTTCGTGTTGTTGATGATTATTGATGATGAATAAATCATGAGTTGTGAATATTTAGTGAAGATTGGTGAATTTTAGCTAATTTTATGCTTAATTTGGCTTAGTAAAAATGTCGCTTATTAAATTGCCAATATAGCATTTTAATTAACTTTGTGGGAATTTTATAATATTCATTTGACTAGTCTTCATAATTTTGATAGTCTCCTTGGCACAAATTGTTGTTTCTTCTCCACACGAACATTCAGCAAGCATTGGACTTGCTCGATTTCCATTTTGTCTTACCCGCAAAATACAAAAATGACACATCAAAATCGTTAAATGCCTTTTTCTTGATTTTAACCTTTTGCCTCTTAATCAAGTCTTAAGCCTTTTATCAGGAGCGGGTTAAAAAACTAAGCAGACATGAGAAAACCCAGGATTTTTTAAGTTCAATCCCGCTTATCATCCACCCAAAATTCTTAGAAACTCAAACAAATATCAGCCCATTTATATTCAAAAAACAAAATATTAGAAAACAAGTAAAATAGAATTTAGATAGAATTTACAGTGCTTTCGAGATGCTACAACGATGGTGGAGGATTCCTGCGTGAGCGACTGTAGCTCCGTCTCTTCCGTGCGCGTTGTGTTGTATGTTAAATCAACCTGCGTAGAGGGGCTAAACAAGAAACTCAAGGGAGTTTTGAAAAGTGTCTTGCGAAGAGAAGAAATTTGTGATCTATGTGTAGAACTGTCAATGGGGCAAGCCAGCTCGAGCTAGGCTCATTTGGCCCAAAAAAGCTCGATGAGTCTGACTTTTTAGTAAGTCCATCTGAGCCTGAATTTAAAAAATAGGTCCGAATTAAATATGAGTTGACTTTGAATCTCATTAAACTCAAACCTGATATAGGCTCGATCCTTAAATTAGCTATATATATAATGATAAATATATATAATGATATTATATATAATTATATATCTAAATATATTATTACTGAATACTAAATATATACAAATTATAACACAAAAATTCATTTGGAGACTTCTCTACTAACTTTTTTGAGAGCCAATATTGGTAATGCACAACTGAAACTCTAACTTTTGTTTTTGGTTGAGCAAATATTTTGTTGGCATAATACTGGTTGATTTTTTTTAGTCTAGAAACACAAATCATCAAGCATGTTTGGATTCAAGTCACAAAATTACGAAGAAATTCCAACATTTGAAAATTTATTGATTTATGATCGTATATTTTATTACTATTTTTCATGTACTTTGAATGAATTAGATATAAATATTATTAAAAAATTCTTAGTTTATGTACTTTTTAAGAACTGTTACTTGTTCATGTTTAGTTTTAATGTTGTAGTCCTATTAATATTAAATTAGTTTTACAACTCAATAGTTATTATATTAAAAAAATTGAGGAGCAATAAGTGACTTAGAACTAAGCCCGATTAAGGTTTAAAACCCGAATATTTTGTGAGTTGAGTATGATCATCACATTTATTAACTCGAAACTCATGGTTCAAAACTCGAAAGTATTACAAATTAAATGAGATGAACTTGTACTTATCAAAATCCGACTCATATAGGCCGATTGACAGACCTATTTATGTGTGAAATGATCCGAGAATTAGAGGTTCTCGTTTCTAATATCTCTCATATTATTTCTTGTTTCTTAAAGAATAACTTTTTTTATATACTGTTAGTGTAAATTTTTTTTTATACAAACAAATTTAGATTAATGCCACATAATATGAATTTGAATTTCAAATCATGCACATACAATATACATTAAAGACTGTTAGTATAAAAAAATCAATACATTATCAGTTTATAAAAAATTTATTCTTTCTTAAATCCCACACTTCCCTTGTCGGGAAAAAAAAGAGCCAAAAAAATTGATAAACTAGGAGGGGAGTTCGATATCAAGATTAGTCAAGGTTGAAACTAGGGAGGAGCGAGGAAGGCCCAAATTTTTAGAAATTATGTTTTTCTCCCTTAGAAATTTAAAATTTTCAAGTAGGCTCCTTATAAATTTAAAATTTTGCCCCTATAACAATTTGAAAATTCTGTATAGTGCATACATAACATTAGATTTGTTAAAACTGTCCCTCCTCTAAATTTTTTAATTTTGTCTATAAGATTATCTAGAGATAAAGATAGAGATAGGAAGCATAACAAATCGATAGACTTGAGAATGGAATCAAGTTAAACCTCATTTTTTTATCTTTATCTTTTTTAACAAAAAATATTTTTTTAAAAAAAGGAAATCCTAACTAAATTTATTACTACAAAGGACATTAAAATTAGTAAGTGTGCCATAAATAAAGAACTTTGCTTTTCACTAAGTACCTGTCATATTAGACAGTGGTACTGTTTAATTATCTAAAAAATGTTGGCTGAAACACACCCCTGAGATTTTTTTAAAATAATTTTTTCGTCATCATCTTTTTTATGCTAGAATATATGTGTGGATTTATACGAGTTATAGTGGACTCTAACTCATCCAATCTCATTGTTAGTTTTTTCTAATAGGGAAAAGAAGACATTTTTTAAGACACTATTTGATAACCCAATTTAATACTTAAATTAAAGATATTAAAATCTTAACATGTTCATATGCATTTAATAACAAAAAATAGAACATGTAAATTAATTAATTAGCACTAAATTTTTTAGACAAAACTTATTCTAAAAAATAAGTGATAAGGTATTTACTTATCACTTAATATGATATATATTCAAATATATGAGATTTAATATTTAAAATTTAATAACTTAACAACTTGAGACTTCAAATTTCATTTTTATTAAATGCACCCAAAATCTTCACCATTGCGTGGTTTCAAAGTATTGGTAGTTGGGCTTGACCGCTCTCGATTTGTGCAATCTACTTGTGTTCACAATGACACAACATTACAGAGAAATAGACATTGTAGTCTAGTCAAATAGGGTGTGTCCTTTGTTGACCCTTGGGCATATGCATGGGAGATTATTTGAAATATTTATTTAAAATAATTATATTTTTTTGTAATAAAATATATGTAAGATAAAAAATGATTGAAAAGATAAAAAATATTTTGAAAATTATGTTTGTGATGCAAATAAATATCTTGCTTTTTTAAATAATGATTTTCCAAACATACATATTTACTTTCATTTTAGATCGGGGTGCTCGAGATAAAGATTAGCTAGGATTGATATTAGGGTGGAAGGGGAGACCAAATTTTTAGAAATTAGGTTTCTCACCCTTAAGATTTAAAAATTTTCAAGTAGGCTCTTTATAAATTTATATTTTTGCCCCTATAAAATTTGAAATACTATAGTGTATATGCAACATTAGATTTGTTAAAACTCTCCCCCCATCTAAATTTTCTAATTCTGTCTATGAGATTAGCTAGTTATAAAGATAGAGATAGGAACCATAACAAGTGGATAGACTTGAAAAAGGAATCAGGTTAAACCTCACCTTTTATCTTTATCTTTTTTTTAAAAAAAAAGTATTAAAAAATGGAAATCCTAAATAAATTTACAAGTACAAAGGATATTAAAATTAGTAAGTGTGCCACATAAAGAGAACTTGTTTCTGTACTATAGTACTTGTCATATTAGACAGTGGTACTATTTGGTTATCTAAAAGGTGTTTGTCCAAAACTAGTTTTTCCATTACTAATTTATGTGACGTCATTTTTTCACCAATGTTTTAAAACCCGGACCGTTAATTGAACCGGTGAAGTGAAAGGGTCGAGATTCAACCGGTCGGACCGGTTCAACCCCGATTCAATAAATAAATAAATAAATATATATATATATATATATATATATATATATATATATATATATATATATATATATATATATATATATAGACACACATACGTGTGCACAGAATAAGATATAAATGCTAAACCACAATTAACATAAGAAAACTCCATAATTAACAACTTTGATCGGAGGTCTTCCTTAGTTTTGATGTGTCAATATTTTGGACTGACCTCACATAATAGAAAACTCCATTTCATAACTTTAACTTATCCAAAGTTGCATCTTGCCTTCGTTTACTTAAAATAATTTCTATAGGCTATGTATAACTTTAAGAAGCAAAATCTCCTATCCACACTGGATAAACCTTCTGTTGAGTGATGTAGCTATCCAAGAATGGTGCCACTAAGTTGGTATCAAATAGCATTTTCTTCCTTTCAAATGATTCAGGAAAATTCCAACAACCAGAAAATGATTATATTCTGATAAGTGGATTTCAGCCACCAAGTACAAATGCATAAACAAGTCATTTAACTTGTTTGTCGGCTTGCTGAACATGCTAACCAACATTTCCGCAGTTGCTGTACTAGAGACAGCCCAGCCATTTAGAGAAATCCAATTAAACTAAGATGTTTAAATTATCTCTTGCCTGATTCTACAACTAGTTCGCCATTCTGAAGTTGTCTCACAAATGCTATTCCCCATCAAAATTAAAGGAAATACATGAAACACAGAACTGTATCTGAACACACATTCTTTTTGTGCAATTTTCTTCCTAGTAAACTTTCGGTTGCTGCACAGATTTTTTTTTCCCTCAGCCAAGGGTCCATTTTCCTAGCTAAATTCACAGGCAGCTTAAGTATCATGTATATTAGACGCGTAAGAGGTTATTACAGAATTTTACCTTCCCTTTTCCTCCTAGAATTTGAAAGTTGCAGCCTGCACTTTTAGTTCCTGCTTCAGTTCTTCCTAAGCCGCACCAGTCACTCATTTTTTCCTCACTTTTGGCTCACGGTTTCGAGGTTACAAGCCGGAGAAATGAAGCTAGCAAATTTTTAATTCTCTCCCTCACTCTCTCGGTTGCAAACTGGAAGCAAGGAGGAACCAGAAATGTTTTCTTTCTTCTTCAATTTTATGTTCCAGCTAAGTATTATAATTGCTACAATCTTCAAGCCAGGCAACAAAGCCAACTAACGAGTGAAAAAGAAAAAAATTGTAGGACAAACAGACTTATCTAATTTGAGGACAAACCAGATCTTTTGTGAAGGATGGAGTGAAGACTTCCCTCCCTTCCGCCCCGCCTCTCCACAATGAAACTGCCGCCGTCGCGGCCCCTACTGCAAATGAAGCTGCCCACCGACAAAAATCTCCAGCAACACCTTCGAATCGGCTGTGAAGTTGGGGGATTTGGAAGGAGCCCATCACCCGACAAAAATTATGACCCATCACCCGGCGCTATGGAGCAAATGCGGCGGATGAGAAAATTGTGAAGATTGAAGACTGAAGACTTGAGAGAAGACTAGGTTTAGTTGTTAATTTCGGTCAAAATTCAGTCAATATTGTGAAAAATTAAAAAACCGCGGTTCACGGTTCGATCCGAATTTAATGGTTTGAACGGTTTTTTACGATTTTGACCGGTTTTAGGATAAAGTCAACACAAGCTATGAATCGGACCGGACACATGGCCGGTTCGCGATTCGACCGGTCGAACCGGCCGGTCCGGACCGATTTTGAAAACATTGTTTTTCACCTTCCCAAAACTAGTCGACGTGGTTATTTCTAGTCCTCAAGATTGTGTTTGTGAGGGGACCGTTCAGAGACGGTCATTCTGCCCCGTATCCGTCCAAAACACACCCCTGACACGATGACATTGTTTGCACTTGACAAGATGTTATTGTTTACTTTCATTTTAGACCATTAAACACCGATAAGGGTAAGTTCAATTGAATGATTGGTGCAACTCTTGCATTATTTAATATTACTCGTATTAATTTTGGATAATTAAATTTTATTTATTTACATCAACTAAGTGAAAAATATATAAAATCTTATAAGAATTACACTAATTAGATAGAACCAGCCAAAATTTGATGAGACATGTATATCAATACTGTTATCACCGAAGAAATCTCGATGTAATTAACATATATTTTTACAATTTATTGGGCTAAATTACATGCATCTACCAAGAAACACATTTCAATTACAAGGTCCTACTTATCAAACCGACATATTAAGTTTTGATGGGCCTTTTCTTCGTATTAAATCAAAACAAACAAGTACATTACACACACGCTGGATCTTATAAATGACTTCATGTTCAAGTCTTTTCTTAGAGGAAAGACTTCAATTTTTCTCCTATTTAATTGTTCACTGTGACATCTGCACAAATTGAAGTGGCTGTGGTGCTTCTCTGTAACTCGTACTCGATGACATAGAAATTTGTTCGTGTCAGTTTTGTATAAGGTAGTTGCGGGCGAGATTATTTTCTGGAGTCAACTATCTAGCGAGCCTATAAATTATTCAAGCTCATCAATAATATCAAGTATTAAATTTTGATTTTTTTTTTGTCTATTTCCATTGTTAGATTCATCAAATCTTGACCTCAAATTTGTTAGCTTTAATGTAGAAATGGATTGAAGAATCAAAATTTGACACTATTTATTTTTAATAGGACAATCTAAAACTTGAAATAGATAAAATATCAAAAGTTGATGATTTGAATAGTTCAAGGACTTTTCAGGTAGTTTACCCTATAATATAGGATGGAGAGCAATATGGAAGGTCTACTTTACCTCCGTGGCGCATCATTATACTATTTTTCGTTGACTAGTGACCACACCGTCACTGTCCTATAGCCCTCACCGCACCTATACCTATGTGACACCTAGAGCTGTTAAGTCAATCGAGTAGCTCGAAAGCTCGTTAGAGTTCGACTCGTTAAGGCTCGAACTCGGCTCGTTAATTTTGGTTAACGAGTCGAGCTCGACCTCGAAACATGCTCGTTTAGTTAACGAGCCGACTCGAGTAACTCGTTAGAACTCGTTAATGAAGGGCATATTTGTCATTTTAGAAATTAAAATTATAAAAATTAAAAATTATAGATTTTTATTAAGGTTAATTTGCACGAGTTCGAACTCGAGCTCGTGAAACTCGACTCGTTTATCACAAACGAGTCGAGCTCGAGCTCGAGTTCGAACCACATGTACATTTAACGAGCCGAGTTCGAACACATTTTAAAGCTCGTTTTCCTAACGAGCTCGAGTCGAGTTCGGCAGCCAAATACTCGGCTCGACTCGGCTCGATTAACAGTTCTAGTGACACCCATATCTATTTGGAAGAGTCACACCCATATCTATGTGACCCACTCATTTTGACCCCTTCAAGGTCTTTTTTTTTTTTTTTTTTTTAAAAAGACTCCTTCAAGGACTAAGTCAAGTTGTCAAGCGGTAAGCCGCTACCAATAAGATATAAAAGAGCTATCTTTTTCTCACCTTACAAGGATCAAAGAAAATAAAAATAAAAGAAGGGCTGCTGTACTTGAATCCATTAGTATTGTTTTGTATGGCAATACAAGTACATGTCCACATTCCGGAAAGGAAAGTAAATATGGAGAAAACTAATCTCCTCTTCCTTGTAGCCTCGGTTGCAAGCCTGAGCACAGCTTCCTCGAGTACCACTAGCGTTCTTGCCCACAACAACACCCTTGATCATGATCTAGATGCTCTTCTTGCCTTCAAGTCTACCATTTCCGACCCCCAAAACTTCCTTCCAATCAATTGGTCCACTTCTACCTCTGTTTGCAACTGGATAGGAATCACTTGTAACAGACGCCATCAAAGAGTCGCTGCCATACATCTTCCTAAAATGGGCTTAGTTGGAAACATACCTCCACAGTTGGGGAATCTCTCTTTCTTAGTCTGGCTGAACCTTCAAAACAATAGCTTCCATGGAAATCTTCCAACTCAGCTGGTTCATTTGCGTCGACTCAAGTACATCAACTTGGCATTCAACGGCTTTGATGGCGAATTTCCATCATGGTTGGGAGCTTTATCTCGACTTCGTTTTCTTTCGTTGCATAGTAACAGAATTTCAGGTTCATTGCCACCAACGCTCTCTAATGCAACAATGTTAGAGACCATCAGGTTGGGTCGGAACCTCATAACTGGAAATCTGCCTCAAGACTGGAGTGCTTTACAGAACTTGGAGGCCCTTGACATGGGACATAATAAACTTGGAGGCCCTTTGCCTCAGTCTTTATTTAACCTCTCCTCATTGCAGATATTAATTTTTACGAATAATACTTTATCCGGTTACCTTCCGGCTAGTATCTGCCATCATCTACCACGACTCCAAGGGCTTTATTTGTCACGGAACGAGTTTAGCGGCGCGGTTCTGGCTGGTATTGGAGGTTGTCCAAGGCTTCAAATCTTGTCCTTGTCATACAATAATCTGGCAGGAAATATGCCACGACAGATTTGGAATCTAACTACACTAAGGGTGTTGTATCTAGGCGGAAACGATATTCAAGGTACGATTTAGGTAGTAATTCCATTATCTTGAGTTACAATTTCCTTTGGAAAAATTACGCTTTACCTTATCGTCAATTAGCGTTTTTCACTAGAACTCTCTTATGATTTCAAAAAATATGTAACCCCCTTTATGATTTGAATGAAAATGTCAAAGTGACAAAAACTGTCACTTAAAGAAACTAGCTTAAATGTAAAGGTTACATTTGTTTAAAAACTAAAATTACTGAAATGGCCAACATATACAAGTTTAGTATGTATTGCAGTTTAGCTTACCATCATTTAGCGCTTTTCCATATGACTTTTCTTTTCTATGGATTTCAAAATCTACAAATGACTCCTTGTGATTAACAAGTAATTTCCATCTTCACATTGAGTTACTTTCGATATTTTAACCAGTTCTGTTACAAAGGAGAGATCCATCACCATGACATTTTAATCCAAACTATAACAACTTTACGTACAAGTGAAAAGTACTAAATCAAAGGAAAATAATGTGTAATTGACCCATTTCCTTTATATGGACTACAGGATTTGTCGTTAGATATATGTTACATTATGGGCTGTCGGATTTGTCGTTATACATATGTTACGTCATGTTTTATAGAAATATGATCTCCATAACTCTCACACGATGTAAAAACAAGAAGATAGACCACAGCTTGGGACGATCACTATAGCTGTGATGGTTCCTAGCCAAGATGGCCCAGAAAAATACAAGAAAATGCATGGATGTCATTGGTGAACCGGCCTGACCAAAATTTATCTTGGAATTAAGCTTCATTAACTAAAATATATGAAAGTTCTAAGTTGTTTTCAACAATCAAAACAGTCCATAATTACTTCCCCGTTTTCTTAATTATATACATAAATAGAACTTGAATTATTCCGGGAACACATTTAAATCATTTTATTTTGCAAACTACCTAGTACCCTTTTCGGTAGCCTAAGATGTGTTTCTTAAAACAATTACTTGCATGTATACATATACACTTTTTCAGGCAATTATGTAAATATCATGAATCTTGTCTGCAGGTCAAATCCCAGCAGATATTGGCAATCTTACTAATTTGCAGCGGCTAGGCATAGAGTTTGCTAATCTGACAGGTAACAACCAGATACTTTTGATATTTACTTATGCTATCATATGTTGATTAAATCAAGGTTTTGAAATCTAACCATAACCTCAAAAAAATGATTAGGTTAAGGGTCATATTCACTTATTGGCATAAACAAGTGGCATTTCTAAGTTATCTCAATAAAATCATGGAAAAAGAATTCTTAAGCTATTGATAGCTAAGGGTAGCAATTGCTCATGTAAACCAATTTAATGCATCCTAACTTTTCTAAGAAAAATATAAATCAGATAAAAAATTCACTAATTTGTAGAAAGAATACGAAGACAAAGAAAATAATTACTTTAATAAATTAAAAAAGTCAAATTTACACAAGGATACATAGTATTTTAAACAAATTCAGTTAGAGAAGATAGAGAGAGAAATAGATAAATAAATAAATATTTGTGTAATTTCTGGGGAAATTGAGAGGACAGAAAGCAGCCAAGCAATAATCTTTTTGCTAGAGCAATAATCTTTCTCAAATGCTAAGAATCCCCTTAATCAATCAAGTATATTCATTGATTTCCATGGGACCCATTACGCACCAATTACTTCTATTTTCTCTCTATAAATAAGTTTATTAGTGCTAGGGTCTCTCAATCTGTCCCCTATTATTACCGACTTCTTCTTCATCTCTCTCTATTAGATTAATTGATCTATTATTTTTATGATTTACTAACTTGATTTTGGCTTTAATTTTTTCTTATATACTAATTCTTTTGTTCAACGTGCTCTTTTTTTATTTTTAAAATTTTATTCAAAAGATTCTTTTTGCAAATACAACATAATTTAATTCAAACAAGCAATAGTATCCTTACTTCCCAATATGGATGGGATATACAATATAATGCGCAATTAAACCTTCTCTTGTCTAGTTACTAGAGAATATCATACTTGATAGAAATCAAAACCTATATGACGAATATAAAAGAGGAAGAGATGGTACAGTTTTTAATGAGATCAACTGCAAAAGTGCATGATAAACAAGTAGAATGCAAAGGAATAAAATATGTTGCTGCCAAAAAATTTTAAATATATCAAAGCATTGAGTTACAGTGACATCATAACACTAATCATTTTGAACAAAAATTTGTTGGAATTAAATCATGCTATATTTGCAAAAATAATATTTTAAAGAAAATTATCAAAATAAAAAAGTGCATTAAAGAAAAAGAATTAGTCTATTAAAAAAGATTTAAGGCAAAATCCAAAAGAGTAAATCATGGAAATAATTGATGAATTAGTGTGTGTGTGTGTGTGTGTCTGAGAGAGAGAGAGAGAGAAGAGTAACAAAGCAAGAAAAAATGCAATTAGAGAGAGAAAAAAGAGTAGTAATTAGTGCTTAATAGATTCTAGGAAATTCCATGCAAAGATATGGAGTTGATTGATTGAGAAAATCTTAGCATACTTTAGCAAGAAGATTATTGCTCCGATAGTATCGCCAGCCAAAAATAGAAGTGTAAATGGATCTAATCAAGTCGAGCAATCTAGTGCTCAAACTTATTTGGTTATTTTAACTAATTTGAAATTTTGTTCAAATTTAGCTTATTTTTCTGTGGAATCGAGCTTGAATGAACTTTTATTGAACTGAACTCGAGCTAAGCTCGTATGGTTTGAAATTTTTACATATACAATCTAATTTGTACTAATCGAACCAAGCTCAATCTAAATTTGAAAGTTTGTTGAACCTGAAATATTGTTTAAGCTTGGTTTAACCTCCGGTCATTGCTTATTCCACCATGAAAGCTGAATTTATAACTTTGGATACTATATTTAAAGATGTAGAGTATTTTTGGAATTTGTTACTTGATATCAAGTTATAATCACAAACTATGTCTCGATCTCTATACACTATCTCTAGAGCCTTGAACAAGAGTATTATGATAAATCTAGCCGTAAATACCCTGGACAAATATCAAAAGATGGCCACATGACTGTTGAATATAAAATAACATCCAATAACTTGCGGATCAATTGACTAAGGCTTTGTTAATGGATTTAGTGAACTCGACTTCATTATAAATGGAATTGACATTCTTCATCTAAAATCATTAACAATCGGACCCTACCTTTATTCTAGCACTACAAATAGATGAACACGTTAAAAGATGACAAGAAGTTGTTAACAAGTGGTTGTGAACACTAATACTAATACTTATGTGTACCATTCCACCCACTAGTGCATAATGTTATTAAAAGATTGAGTGTGTGTTGAATTTATACTCTTAAATGAAGTTTAAAATCTATCATGGTACTTTATATTAGAAAGTTTCAAAATGACTTCCCTGGCCTATATGATCATAGAAGTGATGCAACTTCTAGGAAAAGTTTGAATTTGTTTTTGTTTATAATCATGAATTTAGGACACAACATATGCTTGGTAAAAGTGCGAAATTTTTTTTGTGAATTGATCAATGTTCATAATACTATATATGTGGTATATCTAGTCTAATTTGTAAATCAAGATTTAATGCTATAAGCCATCTTAATTTGATCAGATTGTAGTGATATATTTGCACTAAAAGAAAAGTTTAAATCAAATCATATTTGCCTTTATGCGTGATTTTACTTGTACTAGTTTGATATCTCATTTACAAACTAAGTGGGGAATTATTGAATTAGTTTTTTAAATAAAATGTGAGATGTACAAATAAGACTCGAAATGTACAAATGAAACATGGAAATGTACAATAAATATTGAAAGACGTGTGAATGAGACTTGAAAACATACAAATAAGTCTTGAAATGCACAAATAGGACTTAGGTGATGCATGTATGTGAAACTTGAAAAGCAACATTTATGGACCAAGTGATCAAATGTTCGGTGCCAGATTCAAGTGCCATTCTAGCCGAATCCGTCACTGGATCATGATTAGAAAGGTTCAAATATTTGTCTTTTCAAATCTGGGCTCAGATCCAGCCTGATCAGCAGTGATCTGGTGCTAGATCCTTGTTGGTCATACTAATGAACCGGATCCAACAATGGCTCCAGTTATTGTTGCATTTGGATCAGGGTTGAATGTTGGTTAACGGATACAAATGGTCAGGGTAGTATGTTAACCTCAGGAAATTTTTCTAAACACGTGCTTTTTGTAGAACATACTTTCTTAAATTAATATTCCTTCTATCCCACTTTGATAGTTCTATTTTTCTTTTTTATCTGTTCCAAATTATAATTTACTTTCTAATTGAAAAATATAGTTATCTTTTAATTTATCTAAATACCCTTATTCAATGTAGGTTATTATTAGTGTAAACTATCTTGTTTAATTTAAATTGTTATTGAATATAACCTGTCCCATTTAGTAAATTTTGATTTTCCAAAACATATTGATATATGAAAAGCCAATTTTGTTATTCTTTCAAGCTTATTGATATAAAATGAGAATTGATTCTTTCTTGACCATCAATTTAAGTTCCCACAAACTATTAATTCAAATTTCCATGAATAATTAATATAAAGTTGTACTCTATTTAATGTAAGCGTATTTTAGAGACAACCTAATTTTTTTTTTCCAACAAAATTAACTACTTTTTCTTAAATTATGTCAAAAAAAACTAGAACCATCAAAATAGAACGGAGGGAGTAAGTCGCTTCAAAATACTTCATTTGATTCTTAAATCAATAAATGCTTTATAATTGAGAAAGTGGCTAATCCTCGTCACCTTAAAAGCCACAAATACGCAAAATGGTCCATTTGATCATTAAGTCCTATATATTGTTGCTAACATGACTGGCTTTTTTCTTTTTCTTTGTTGGGTGAAGGAACAATTAAAAGACGCTGAGAAATGATGCAGTAAAAAAAAAATATACGAAGAAATAAGAGGAAACATAATTCATCTTTCAAGAGCAGTAGATGGAGTAGATCAAGCATATATCTATAGCTTTTGAAATGACCAGTACGACGAAGCTGTTGATTCCGTAATTGAGAATTTTCGTGCTAAATGAAACCAAGACAACCTGTACTTTTCGTTGCAGCGATAAAGCAAACAACCGTAAACAAGAAAACAATTAATTAACGCAAAAGCACTTAGAGCATGCATTTTTGTTGAAGTTATTGCAATAAGCAAGGCAGCTTGAGGGGGTGTCGGTTAAGTACCGCCTTTTAAAAGGGATTGGCAGAATCTCTAGAAGAGGTTCTTGTAATTTTTCCAATATATATATATATATATAGACACGCACATATTATGTATGTATTCATGGATTGAATTGGTTTTTCTTCTCATTTAACTCGTTGCCTGATTGTTTTTTTTATCAGGTGTTATACCTCGTGGGATCGGTGACCTTTACGAGTTGGAGGAATTACACTTAGGCGAAAATAGGTTAACAGATCCTGTCCCACAGAAGCTATTCAACATTTCAACTCTTAGACTACTATCCATAGAACTTAATGATTTTTCAAGCATTCTTCCTTCCACTTTAGGTGTTACTTTACCCAACCTTGAGGTGCTTCTTCTTGGGGGCAACAAATTCACCGGAATTATATTGCCAACTCTCTCCAATGCCTCTAAATTGAAGACTCTAGACCTGACAAGGAATAAATTTGTTGGTGAAATTCCTGATTCTCTTGGTAGCTTAAGATTCCTAGAATTCTTAGTTCTTTCAAAAAACAATTTTACTCTATCTGGAGGTATGACCTTCTTCAGTTCTATAGGAAATTGCAGGTATTTGAGAAGGTTGTCCCTAGGCGAAAATTTACTGAATGGAAATCTTCCAGTGTCTATTGGAAATCTTTCAAACTCTCTTGAATCAATTAATATGTTTCATTGTGGAATTGGAGGTGAAATTCCAAGGTCACTAGGCAACTTGAGCAACTTGAACTCCATACACTTAGCAAGGAATGGCTTGATAGGAGCAATCCCAAGTTCCATCTCAGGTTTACTAAATCTTCAGCGGATAAGTTTTGGAGATAACAAAATACATGGATCAATTCCAAGTGAGTTTTGCCATATCCCCAACTTAGGATACTTAAAGTTGTCAAGAAATAGACTGTCTAGCAAAGTGCCGAACTGCATGGGGAACATTTCTTCATTGAGATATCTTTATTTAAACTCCAACAATCTAACATCTAGCATACCGACAAGCTTATGGAGCCTTAATGATCTGTTGGTACTGGATTTGTCCATGAATTATCTCAATGGTTCTTTGTCCTCCCAAATTGGAAATATGAAGGCACTGATCAATCTGAATCTATCAGTTAACCAGTTCTCCGGTGATATTCCCAGCACAATTGGGACGCTACAGAATTTACAGGAACTCTCCTTAGAGCATAATAAACTGCAAGGGTTAATTCCAGACTCCATGAAGAAAATGTTGACTTTGCAGTATTTGGATCTGTCATTCAACAATTTAGCTGGTATGATACCTAACTCACTGGAGGTACTCTTGGATCTTCAGTATTTGAATGTTTCCTACAACAAACTACAAGGACCAATTCCTCGAGGAGGACCTTTTAAGAACTTCACAATCCTATCTTTTCTTGCTAATGAAGCATTATGTGGTGCTCCTTGGTTCCAACCTTGTCAAAATTTTTATCATAGATCAAAGAAAAAGATACTCTTGCTTGTGTTGCTGCCAATAGGATCTGCTGTCCTAGCCTTTGCCATTTCACTTTTGTTGATGAAGAGGTTTACAAGAAAGAAAACTATGGCTGCAGCTCCTGATTTGTTTCCAAAAACAACATATCAAAGGGTATCCTACCATGAACTTCGACAAATAACAAATGGTTTCAGTGTGAGTAACTTGCTTGGATCTGGGACGTTTGGTTCAGTTTACAAAGGGGCATCTGCAAATGGGATAATTTGGGCTATAAAGGTTTTTAATATGAAGCTCGATGACATACTGAAAACTTTTGACACAGAGTGTGAAGTCTTGTGCCGCCTCCGTCATAGAAATTTGATCAAAGTCATTAGCGCTTGCTCTAATCCGGACTTTAAAGCTTTGGTACTAGAATTCATGCCTAATGGAAGTCTGGATAAATGGCTTCATCTTGACCACCATGTCCTGAGTATCATGCAAAGATTGGACATCATGATTGATGTGGCTCGTGGGTTGGAATATCTTCATTATGGGTATTCATTTCCCATAATTCATTGTGATTTGAAGCCTAGTAACATTTTACTAGATGGAGCTATGGTAGGTCATGTTAGTGACTTTGGAATTGCTAAATTCCTAGGAGATGGAGAAAGCCATCTACAAACAAAAACCCTGGCAACAATTGGGTACATCGCTCCAGGTTATTATTCTTAATTCAAAGCCTACAATTTTTAATTTTGGGTAAAATAGCCTGGTAGGTGCTTTCAAATTACGCATCAAAACACTTAATAACACCTACTTGTTATATGAACACACACACACTCTCATATATTATTCACCTACATTTAGATATTTTCTCAAATTAATTTTACCGTTGTCAAAAAATTAACTCTTAAAATTATCTTAACGAGTATCCTTGTCACTCATTAACCAAATCAAATTTAAGATGCAATATGTCATAACACTTCTATTGTATTCTAAATATGATACATTATAATCTTTTTAAAACTACTATTTTTTTCCTTGCTGCAATGTTAATGTGAATTTCAATATTTATGATAGAGTATGGACTAGAAGGACTAGTGTCAACAAGGTGTGATGTGTACAGTTTTGGCATTACCATGATTGAAGCATTCACTGGAAAGCGACCTAAGGATGAGATGTTCACAGAAGAGCTTAGCATAAGGTGTTGGATTCTGGAATCATTACCAAGTTCTGTAGATCAAGTTGTCGATGTGAAATTACTTCATCCAGAAGAAGAACAAACCAACATGGACATGGCTTGTGTATCATCTATCTTGCAGCTTGCTTTAAGTTGCAGTTCAGATGTCCCAGAGAACAGGATCAACATAAAAGATGCTCTCACAACACTCGAAAATATCAAAACTCAATTTTTACAAAGAAATTAGAAGGGCTAAAGCATTGAAGAATTATGAAACGATATACATTGATATTTATGACTATGGTGGTTAGATTGCCTTTCTTTTTTTTTTTTTTAAATTGTTGATGCTGACTTGTTCTTATTTATTTGCATATGTTGTTTGCAAGAAGTAGATAATTTCGAAATCTCCCTAGCATATAAGACAATTATACTCAGTATTGGTCAAAATCAATTTTAATATGACAAGCATGGTATAATAAGCATAATGAACTTTAGCAGGTTGAAAGGAATTTTGTTGATTTGTGAAGCTTTGGTAATTACATTTATTGTAGATCTTGTGATGTTAGAACTGGAGGACAAAAGCAGTTAGCAATTAAGGACATCTAAATAAATTATTTGGATTGGTTTAGGCCAATTAAATATCTTGATTCTTATTAACTTTTTCCCTAATACATCTATAATTGAATTTTTAAAATTTATTCTTTCTTACTATCTCTTGAGTTGGTCTTCTATTGAGTCGCTTTTGTATCTTCCTTGATAATCTTTCTTTTGCTCATTTACTTATCTGCAAAAGGAAAAAATGTTAATTCCAAAAAACCTCCTCTAAGAATACAATTTTATCACTTTGTCCCCTGAACATTAAATTGCATCAATCAAATACAAACAGCAAATGAGTGCTAATTTTCCATTCATTTCTTCAAATGATATGGACATCCTGCCAGTAAAAAGACTAAATAACCACCTAAATATTTTAGGCCTAGTTTCATTTTCAAAATACCCGTTTGTAATAGACTTTCATATTCAAACCTCTTGTATATATTACCAAAAACATAAAAACAAAAACAAAATATATGCCTAAGAGTTGTGTGCATATATAAGTCCATTACACACAAGGATATTTTTGGAAACAAAGTCATGCCTGAATTATTTGGGAATTATTAGTCTTTTTACAAGTGACACGTGCATGTCATGTAAGAAGATGAAAAAGAAAATCTGTATGCAATTTAGCAAAAGTAGAAACCATAAAGTGGAAATTGCTGTAAATGAATATTTGGGGGCAAAGTATTGAAATTTGTAATTTTGTAGGGTTTTATTTGGAATTAACTGAAATGAAAAATTATAATATATATATATATATATAGAAGAAATTTTCAAATATTGATTTTTCTTGGCTGGCTTTAGTTTCTTACCATGCTAGTCAACGCAGTTGTTATAAAATGGATAGATGGAGTTATAGACATCTCATTTCCCTTTCTTTATTTTCTCAAATGTTTATGTGGTTTTAACAAAAGTCATTTGCTCAAATTGAAAAGCACCAAAAGGTAAAATACAATTTCAACGAACGGGATCACGACCATACCCCTTTCCTACTAGAAAAAATTTTAAATAATTAAAAAAAAATCCATAACAAGAGAAGCATGGGTATTAATAATGCCTTTTATTTTAAATTTCCTCCACCATGGCAATCTTAATTTCATTTGGTAGCTTTTTCTTCTTTTTTTTTTTATTGGTAATGGTTGATTTTAATTTCAAAATTAAAAGTGAATCCGAAACTTGGGAGGTTCTTCGCAGCACCATCAATAAGTGCGGGAGGAAAACCAATTGGGTAAACCGGTAAGGTGGTTCGGATTATGGTTTGATCTTTTCGCACCGCCCCCGCCGGGGGGAGGGGTTATTGGGTTTGAAAGGTGTATGTAAGAGAGAAATGCGAGACAAAACAACCAAAATTGAAAAACAAGGGATTGCTTGGGATTTGTTATCAAGTGGGGAGGAAGAAGGCTGTGTTTTGATGGGGATTGCGATAACAAAATGAGGAGAAAGAAGGTTGTTTACTTCGAAAGGCGGGGTTGATTGCTGGTGGATGGATTGAGTCATTGAAAATTGTGGGGAATGGGTGATAACTGATAAGTGAGAACCGATAATAGCTTCTTGTGGGGCTATGGTTTTGTTTCATAACCCAATTCAACACTTAAATTTAATAAAATCAGATTTTAACTTATTCAAACCATTTGATAATGAAAAATTGAACATCTGAATTAATTAACTGACACTGAATTTTCTAAGCAAAACTTGTTTCCAAAAGTAAGTGATAAGTTATTCACTTATCACTAAATGTGATATGCAATAAAAAAGTTAAATACTCAATTAAATGTGTAAGTTACAAGGAGAATAAATTGGAAAATATTTTTGAGATTTATTGGTGTTTAAATGATTTTTTACCAAAGATTTATTATATGAAATTATGACTTTTCAATTATCATAATCATTGGTAACTTACAATCCAAATTTTTATGTGTTTTGAATGTTCAATAATTTCAGGATTTACTTGGTGTCTTAGTAGTGGTGTAGGTTATGTTTGTCTAATTTTTCTTCACCTATAAATATATGCAATTGAGATAGAAAAAGGTGCTACAACAACTTATGTTTTGTGAGTTACAATTCATAAGAGAAAAACTATCCACTCCTTTGTTATTTTCTATCTCATAGATTGGCAAGAAAAACCGGTGTTAGTGGAGCTATATCCTCTTAGTTGTCTAGATTATTGAGAGTGATAGCAAGTGTGGCTGGGTTGTTGTGTCTTGAGGGTGACAAGCTAATAATTCTGCTACACCGGAATTAATTCTTCCGCAAAGGCTTAAAGCACCTTAAAGAAAGCGAGAAATCCGTTCCTCAACCTTCAACATTTGTGCATTATTATATTATTATTTTAACTATTTTATTATAGTTAGTTTTATAATTGTTATAATTATTATTATAACTATTCTTGATTTTGTTATTTAACATTTGCATTTTTATTCTAGCAAAACAACAATTTTAAGGTGAATCAAATCAAGATGGAGTTCAACTTACAAGTCACTTACGATCAACTCAAGTGACTTGAGTAGTCTACCTATGGACGGCAAAAAATGAGAAGATCTCAACCAATGAGATATATGAAGTATAAAAGATGTTTGTTAAGAAAACAACAAAAAAAGGAAGTTGTTGAATTCCATTACTAGTATTATAATGACTTTTATAGTTTCTATGAAAATTCTTATCCTAATACCAAAAGTTTTGGAAGGCTTAACAGGAAAATATGGCATCGGAGAAGTAGGTTCGAAGGAGTTCAAATTTCTGAACAATTACAACTTGTTGCTGCACTAGATTGGTTGCCACCATGCATTTTGGAAGAAATTTTAAAGGTATCTTCTTAACAAGTAAAAGTGAACTTCCAATGGGTATGATTAATTGGGTCATTTACTTTAATTGCGATAGATATATACTCCATTGCATGTTATAAAATTGTGACAAATAGTGGAGGTTCATAGCAATTTTCTATGCTAATATGCATAGAACTTGATCATTAAATGTGATATATGTTTAGTTGCATATCATTAAAGCATTAAATAGTGGGGGTTATTTGTTTGTTGAAAATTAATGCAAAGAATTAGATTAATTATTTGAGGATACTTAGTTAAATGACATGGATCTATATTTTGAAAAAATATATATACAAATCTCATGTGATACCATGTTATAATTGCACCTTGTGGGTGTGAATTTTAAAGTTGCAATTAAGTGCAATATTAAATGACATTAAATATCATATTTTTTGAATTTTTTAATTCTTTGTTTGAGTTTGTGCGGATGGACACACTCAAAAGTGTGACTATAATGTGAAGGCACTTGAAGTATGTATTTCATATTTTTGCAAACAGAAATATATGAAAATTCCATTGAGATGGTAAATATGGCTCCTAGTAGGTTTATAGACTACTGGCCTACCAGATGAAATTGAGAATTATTGAGAAATAAAGTAGCTCCTAGTAGTAAACTAATGGTCATCTATGTTGATGATTTCTAGTGAGACTACTGGCTACTAGGATGGAAAAAATTTGAAAAATATTGAGCCTTCACTTGAAGTGAATATAATTGGTTGTATGACAATTATGTGAGAAATATTCTCACAAAATATTGGTATTATCACAGTATCATTGTGATACTTGATGAAAATAATTTGACTCGAGTGTCAATGAGATCATAACTTTGTTTATGTTTTGTGATGATACTGAATAACTCAAACTTGAGGCAAAGATATGATAAACCATGAGAGGGATGTGACTAAAGTCCATGAATCATAAATTACATGCAAGGATACCCAACCTAATGATTGGAGATTCCAAGAGTTAGGTTCAAAGGGAAAAATGAATTACATGGTGATTTGAAATGGATATGCACAAATTTTGATAAGTATGATCCATCCCTATGGTATATGTGTTGTAACAAAAAAAGGGTGAGCTATATTACTCTTAATGAAATCTATAGTTCCTATGAGTGGGGTGTTTGAGTTCTGGGAGCACCCTTAATGGATTTCACCTATACGAGTGTTATGGGTGGGGCCGCCCTAAAGAGAATTGGGACTTGTTCTCTTATACACTCATGAAAAAATTGAGATTGAGCACAAGGCCGTAAAGTGCCAGTTTTATTAGCTCACGAGAACACCTGGACTATTATGTGTGTAAGGTGATATCCAATATCCCAAAAGCAGCCATAGTTCAAGACCGAAGTTCACTATTGGCTCTGGTATTGAAAATTATTATAACACTAAATATAGGTTCAAGGCATTGCTACCTATATTATGCATGTTAGTCCTTTCTTGCCATATAATACTATATAATCTTGTTTTATTAAAAAAAGTCGGGGATTGTTTGAGTATTTTAATATAATAGTTAAATTCTCAATTAAATGTATAAGTTACAAGGAGAATAAATTGGAAAATATTTTTGAAATTTATTAGTGTTTAAATGATTTTTGACTAAAGATTTATTATATGAAATTATGACTTTTCAATTACCATAATCATTGGTAACCTACAATACAAATTTTAATGTGTTTTGAATGGCCAATAATTTCAACATTTACTTTGTGTCTTATTAGTGGTGTAGGTTATGTTTGTCTAATTTTTCTTTACCTATAAATATATGTAATTGAGATAGAAAAAGGTGCTACAACAACTTATGTTTTGTGAGCTACAATTCATAAGAGAAAAACTATCCACTCCTTTGTTATTTTCTA